AAATTTATTTTTTGTTTGTAAATGGACATAGTATCTTTATTTTATTCATTTATTTTTATGTGGTGCTGAGAATTGAAGCCAGTGCCTCACACATGCTGGGCAAGTGCTTTACCACAGAATCACAACCACAGCCCTCATCAGTATTTTTTAAAGGAATCAGTGGACTTCATATTTGTGCCTCACATTTAGCCAGTTAGGAAGGTAATCAGGCAGGAGGTCAATAATAGTTGGTGAACTTGAATTTGAGTCAGATATCAGGTGTGTGTGTGTGTGTGTGTGTGTGTGTGTGTTTTGTGGTAACCCTTCTACTTGCTTTATCTAAAGAGGGCATGTTTTACCCTAGCCTAGCTTTACACTAGAGAATGTAGTTCTTTTTTTTTTTTTTTTTTTTTTTTTTTTTTTTTTTTTCAAAGGGTTTCAGCTAGGGGTACTCTTCCACTGAACCACATCCCCAGTCCTTTTTACTTTTTTGAGGAGGGGATGAGTACTGGGGATTGAACTGAGGGGCACTCGACCACTGAACCACATCCCCAGTCCTATTTTGTATTTTATTTAGAGACAGGGTCTCACTGAGTTGCTTAGTGCCTGCTTTTGCTGAGGCTGGCTTTGAACTTGGCGATCCTCCTGGGATTATAGGTGTGCACCACTGCGCCCAGCTCTTTTTTACTTTTTGAGACATAGCCTCTCTCTAAGGTTGTTGTGACTGGCTTCAAAATTGGGATCCTCCTGCCTCAATCTCCCAAATTGTTGGGATTACAGGAGTCCACAACCATACCCTGTGTGTTCTCTTTTGTTTTGAGATGGGATCGTGCTATGCTCCTCCAAGCTTTTCTCCAATCCTTGGGCTCAAGAGATTTTGTCTCATCCTCCTAAGTAGCTAGAAACCACAGGCATGCTGCTATGCAGACAGACTCTTCCTCTATGGGTCATCTCATCTAGTTGATGCCAAATTATATGTCCAGTTGCACCTGATTGCTGTAGTATCTCACTCATGCAGAACAAAAACTTCACATTGGATGTTTCTATACATCATGTACACAGCATCCAAAGCAGGCTTCTGATTTTTGCCACTGGTCTAGCCTGCCCTCCTGTCTCTGGCATGTTTATTGCTGGCCCTGATTGTTGACCAGGGGTTTAAGCCCATTCCTATGGACTCTTGGAAAGAGTCCCACCTTCAGCATCCTTGAGTCTGAATGCTTTCCTCCATGGCTTCCACTGAGCGTAAACCACCTTTTCTTCTCTCTGCAGCTGTAACTGTCTACAGCAGTGTTCTTACATCATTGTCTCTACCCGAGTTTATTTTTCACATAGCAAAATTTCTTTTTAAGATGGGAATTGTGTCATTCCATCCATGCCCTTGCTGGAACCATAATAAGCCTGAGTGACCTACCCCTTCCTGTCCTTCTGCCTTGCTGTACTCGGTTGCTCTGGAAGCTCCACCCCCATGGCATTGCTTTCTTTGAACTTGCTCATTTGCACATGCTATCACCTTTGCCTGATCATCTTCCAGATAGGGCATTTCCTTTTCTTCTTAAGTCTTTCCTCTGCTCCTATTAAAACACCATAGGTATATAGTGGCATGCATTTGTAATCTCAGCTCCTTGGTAGCTGAGGTAGGAGGATCCTTGAGTCTACTAGTTCAAGCCAGTCTAAGCAGCACAGTAAGACTGTCTCAAAAACAATCAAACCAAAACCAACCAACCAATAAAAACAATCAAAATAACACCACCCTCTTAGTCCCACTCTATACCCATACCAGCTTTTTTTTTTTTTTTTAATGCAAGGTACCATGTGACTTTGAGTTCACTTGTTTAGTGTCCTTTTAGAACAAAAGCAGATGCTCTATGTTTTTTGCATTGTACCCTGGTGTCTGTCCTAAAAGAAGACCCAGTATAGAGTAGATAACCAGATGGTTTTGGATGTCTCCCTCGGCCCAATACTTTTCCACAGGTCGGCCCAGATGCTGGAAGTTGTCCTTGACCTTTCACCCCGTCTCCTGCCTAGCCTCTGCCTCCCCAGCCCCAGCAGTCTTACCATCTCTCTGTTCCTGGCAGCTCTGTTCCAAACCGCTGCCCTCTGTCTCCTCATTGCCTTCCCTGTTCCTTGTGTCTCCTCCCATGTACACTTGGGGTTGGTCCTCGGCTCCCTGTCTCACTCACCCTGGCCACCTGGCCTGCTGGCCTCAGTGCTTGCTGCCACAGTGCTCTTCCCCAGGTGTCTGATGACTTCAAGGATCTCCTTAAGTTACTTCCTCAAGGAGGCCCTTGCTGCCAGCCTAAGTGAAAGCGTTCTGTACCCAGCACTAGGCGCTTTTTCCTGGTTTGTGTTTTTTCCTCATCATTTGCCCCTATCTACTATTGTTCATTTTTACTAATTTATCTTATTTGTTACTTTGTCTTTTGAAGAGCATATTAGCTCCTCAAGGGCAAAGATCTTTGTTTATTCTATCCCAGTGCCTGGGCAGTCATGATCTCCCAGCAAGTATCAGGACAGACAACAGGATGCAATGCAAAGAACATAGAGCATCAGCTTTTTGTTCTAAAGGGACATTAAACTTTGAGTACCCTGATCCAAAAAATCTGAAATCCAAGATGCTCGAAAATATGAAACTTTTCAAGTGCAGATATGACAACTAGTAGGGTTTTCAACATGTAACTTCATGTGATGAGTGACAGTCAAAACTTAGGTGCACTTGAAAATGTTATATGAAATTACTTTCAGTCTGTGTATAAGATGTATATGAAACAAATTTTTCATGAACATAAATTTTGGGGCTCATTCCCAAGATATCTTACATATATGTAACTATTTTAACCCTGAAAGTATCTGAAACACATGTGGATCCAAGCCTTTTGGATTAGGGACACTCTGCCTATAATGAGTGATGAACATGTGAGCCCAGAACCTGATATTTCAGGGCCATGATGGTTGTCAATTATAGTGTCAATCTGGGACTTTGGTAACCATAAAGCTCAGCAGGGCCCATCAGTGTTAGAGTCTGTAAACAAGTCAAGATGGCGCCTGGCATTTTGCAGAGGGTGTGGTTTGTGAAGTAATGCCAGCGAGCCATTAAGTATGGAGATTCCTTATTGGTTGACTGCTGTATCTAGTTTATGTTAATTAAGATAAGCTGTGTGTAATGTATATATACCCCTCCGGTCCTTCAATAAACGGCTCCCACTCCTGCTGTATCAACATACACAAGTTGCTCATCACCCCCCCAGTTATTTTGCTGCAGCCGGGCTGTGGCACATCAGGTCTGATGGTTTTGGCTATTCTGCTGGGGGCGAAGGTTGTTTTCCAGGATTAGGGAAGAGAGGTAGCTTTACAAAGGGTTAAATCAGTGAGAGTTTTGAAATCCTCATAATTTATATAATTCTCATATCTGTCAGTACAGAAAAAGTTATCTGCTTTCCTATATTCTGTGTGGTTGGGGTCTGAAGCCTGAAAGGACATGATTGGCAGCCATTGTTCAGTTCTTTCCCAGCAATCTCCACACACTAAATTGTTCACTGAGCCAGGTTTGGTTAAACCACAGAACTTTGTTGGTGTGATAGGGGCACATAGTTTCAATCATTCTTTTATAAAAGCATGTAAGAATGTAACGAGTCATTTGTACTGAGAGGTGCTGTCATTCCTTCCTTCCTTCCTTCATTTGTTGAGCCTCTGGGACCAGTTATGCCAGTGCACACTCATGGTCCAGTTGAACATTGGTGACAGGATAGAGAGAGAGCCACAAGAGTAGGACTTGGCTGGGTACTGGAAGAGTCTCTGGAGCCTTTGTGAGAAACCACAGTAGCTTTGCTGTGGGTCTTATTCTCCTTCACACCTGATGCACTGCTGCAGGGGCCCTCCAGAAGGCAGGGCAAACCAAGGGGGCGTTGGTGCTGTGTAACCCTGTGGTGTGCTGTGGCTTTGAGCACAGACAGGTAGTGCTGGCTCCTATAAGTTGCTACCTGGCCCTGCCCACCCACTGCCCGGTGCCTCTGGTCTCCAGTACCTGCAGGTGTTCATCATCAGGTGCAGAGCAGGGCCATCTTGGGGTTCTCTGATTTGGGTTAAAGTCCTGCCTGCTATCCCCACCTATTAGCCTTAAGCCCATTTCCAAACTCCCGAGCCTTGGCTTCTTTTTCTCTGCTCTGTGTGTATGTGTGTTTCTAAAAACTTAGTTTTACTTTTCTGAGAGGATGATGATAACCTTTTGAAAAGGATGTAGGGAATCTTGCCTCTGCCTTAGGCCTCTATCTCTACCTTCATCGACAGTTTAGGACCTGTTTGAAAAAAGCAGCCATTGAAATTGGGAAACTGGAGTTGGATTCAGCATTATTATTACAAGGCCTGGAAGGGAGATGAGGTCTTGTAGGCCTGGCTGCCCTCAGGTTCCCTGTTGTTTGAGAAGGTCTGGAGTCAATTTCCAATTCAGTGTGAAGCCCTTGGTGCCGATGCCTTGGGGCAGTGGCTTCAAGCCTTGTTGATGAAGTGCCATTCTGGTGCTTTCTCATGGTCTGACCATGGTACTGACAATTTCTCTTGAGGGGAAGTAACGAAGAAGTCTAGGCAAAGAATTTTCTAATTCCTAATAAAATTTTTCTTATGTTGTTACTTCTTTATTTCAAGTTTTATGAGTTTCTAAAACATTAAGTTCAGTTTTATTTTACAAATTTTCTATTCTTTTTCTTTATATAAACATAATGTGGGGCTGGGGATGTGGCTCAAGCGGTAGCGTGCTCACCTGGCATGCGTGAGGCCCGGGTTCGAACCTCAGCACCACATACAAACAAAGATGTTGTATCCGCCAAAAACTAAAAAATAAATATTGAAAAAATTCTCTCTCTCTCTCTCTCTTTCTTTAAAAAAAATAAATAAAAAAAAATAAACATAATGTGCACTTATTTTAGAAAAAAAATATATATATACATATATTTACATATATGTATATATAAAACAACCTTGGCTTTGTGAATCAGGTTTTGAAAATAGAATTTTTTTTTCTGTTCCAGACTCCTTTTAGTTTTGGCATGAATCATAGGACACCACCCTACCCCGCTGGGGATTATTGTCTTCTGTGCAGAAGTGAACGGAAAGACCCTTCATTCTTAGAGAGTGGAGTTAAGACTGCGAGCAAATTGGCCCTTTCCATGGCACCCAAGGGCAACAGCGTGCTGCACCTGCCGCTGTGGGTGTGCCCGGACTGCCGGAGAACTGTGGAGAAGGAGGAGAGGCATGGCGGCCTTGACCAGCCGGTGAGTGGCTGCCAGCGCAAGCAGGCTCATCGCCCTCTCTGTGGGATGTGGGTTAACTGGCAGCAAGAGGAAAGAAGCTGCACCTGCTTTTAGGGTACTCCCTTCTGCACCGTCTTCTGGCCTAAATTCCACCCTCCCGACCTTCATGGCCACAGGTACAGGAGGTGGTGGGCATCTGCTCTCCTTATTGGGACAGTCAATAAGCTTGTGGTCCCTGGCTGATTTTGACTTTCTTAGTTCAAGCTTAGGATTTCTTTCATGGTGCAGTTCCCTACAAAGCTGGTAGGCCTTTTGTGTGTTTAGTTCTAGACAATTCCATGGGCTGCTAACTCACCTGAAATTGTTCCTAGCATTTGATTCTTAAGCCTGGCCTTCTCCCTTTGCTTTATCCTATGCCACAGGTTCTGGAGGCTATCTTGAAGCTGTTGAGGTAGGGTGGGGCCCTTCTTCTCATCTTGGACCTAGAATGAGTCTTAGTGGGCCCTTGTTCTAAAAATGCTTTGAGATCTATTGTTTAGGTTCCAGGAGTTGGCTTTTGTAACCATTTAAGGCCCCACATCTATTCCCAATTTCTGCTTGCAAGCAACTAATTGTTTTCTGAGCTCTATCTTTTCTGATCTATATGTGGCCAGTAAAAGGCAACAATCAAGCTGTGGCTGTGGCTCAGTGGTAGAGTGCTTACCTAGCATCTGTGAGGCAATGGGTTCGACCCTCAGCACCACATAAAAATAAATAAATGGAATAAAAAGGTATTGTGTCCATCTACAACTAAAAATATTAATTAAAAAAAAAAAAAAACAATCACTGCCTTCTGTTTTCTAAGGTGGGACTACTTTCCAGTTAGTCCCAGTGACAGTCAAGGAGCATTTGGCTGCAGTGCTGGTGGCTCTTCATACCCTGAGCTTCACCTGCTTCTTTGCTGCTGCTACCCAGCTGTTCAGCCAGGGATTCCTTGAGGGCAGTATCCTGAATAGTAGGCTTTAAGTCGCTAAACCTTGGGCCTCATTGTTTACTAAACTAAAGGTAGCTTTCCCACTCAGCCCCCTCTTACAAGCCCATTTCCTGCATTATTTCTATTCGTTTGAATTTTCCCTTAATTGTCTCCTCTTTCTTCTTTACTGGAATTTAATTGAAGGCAACCAGCCACCCCTCCCCCCCTTTTTTTTGCCAAGAGCAGTCTGATGCATATTAGGTACTTCAGAATATTTGAATTAATGAGTAAGCAAATGATGAACAAAGGAGTGAATGCACTGACCCTCATTAGAGATTAAAACTAGAGCCCAGGTTTAACCCTCGGTAATGCCCCTCTAAAAAAGAGAGAGTTTATAGTCAATCTGAAGTTTTTTTCCCCCTTAGACATTTTGCTTTTATTGTTTTAAAAATTTATTGGTTTGTTTTATTTTGTTGCTGGGAATTGAACCTGGTGTGCTTTACCTCTGAGCCACATCCCTAGCCCTCTTTATTTTTTTTTAATTTTTTGAGACAGGGACTTGCTAAGTTCCTGAGGCTGACTTTGAACTTGTGATCCTTCTGCCTCAGCCTCCCAAGTACTGGGATTGTAGGTATGCGCCACCACACACAAAAAATGACACATTCTATTGTCATTTTTCATGAGATAATTTTCTGTGTCCACTTAAAAGTATTTGGTATTTCCCTCATTATTTAAATGGAAGACTGTTTAGATTACAGATGTCAGTTTGTTTCCTATTCTCTTCCAGTCCATGTTCTAAGTCCTTCCATTGGCTAAAGGTATTTATTTATTGTTTTTTTTCTTTTTGGTTTTTGGTTTTTGTGTTTCCTGAACATTGTCATCTTTCCTTCCTGTTCCAGCCCTTTTCTGGTATTTAGCCTGTCTGTGCCCTTGGGAATACTGCTGCTGTCCCCAGTACACAGGCCTGTGGCATTGCCTCTGTTTCACATCATCAGTTGTGCTTTGGAGCCTCTTGTGCTCTGGCTGGCAGTTGTCCTGATCACGATCATCTGTCCAGTGAGGCTTTCTCCCCCCACACAAAATAGCAACCACAACCTCTACGGAGCTGCAGTGCTGGCATATGTGTGCCCATGGACTACCCATTGCCTTTGTAGATAGACTTCTTTGTGGACACTGGTTTTAGATCACTGATATTTTAAAATTATGATGATTTACATACAGTAAAAATTCACCACTTTTAAAAAATATTTTATTTTTTAGTTATAGATGGACACGATATCTTTATTTTTTATGTGGTACTGAGGATCAAACCCAGGGCCTCACATGTTCTAGGCGAGCGCTCTACCGCTGACCCACAACTCCAGCCCTCACCCTTTTTTCTTTAAAAATAAAAATAAAACCACAAAAATTTCTCTTTATCAGGGTTAAGATACAGAAAGAACATTTGCATCGCCTTGTAAAGATCCCTTGTTCCCCTTGGTAGTCAGTATTTGGCCTCTACTCTGGTCCCTTGTAATCATGGACCTGATTTCCTCCACGGTTCTGCTTTTTCTAGAGTGTTCCATAAACTCTGTCATTTGGCACAACATTCTGGAGGGTCATCCATGTTGTTGGATGTGTCAGTAGTTTGTTTCTTTTTATTGTTGAAAGCATTGTGCAGATACACCAGTTTACCCATTCCCCAATTAATTGATGGATCTTTGGGTGGTTTGCAGAATTGGGCTGTTTTGTAAAAAGCTGTGAAGGATATTTTTATACAGGCCTTTCTGTGGACATTCTATTGGCTTGTTGCTGCATTGGTTTGCTAGAATTTTACCAAGGACTTTGCTTCTGTGCCCATGAAAAATGTCTGCCTATACTCTAGTCTTGCAATGTTCAGGAAAGAAGTTAAAATGTGTCCCTGTGGGCTGGGGTTTTGGTTCAGTGAACCAACATGCCTAACATGGATGAAGCACTGGGTTTGACCCTCAGCACCGCATAAAAGTAAATAAACAAAATAAAGGCATTATATCCATCTACAACTAAAAAAACAAAAATTAAAAATAAAAAGTGTGTCCCTGTTTCTTCTCCCTTTTCGGGGGAGATCTGTGCAGAATTGATACCACATTTCCTTAAGCATTCTTGCGCTCTGCTTATTTCTTTCTGTTAGGTCAACTATAGACAGTAGAGAGCAGGCCCCAGCCTGAGGGAGCTACTGGCTGTGCATCTGTGAGGCTGAGTGAGCCCTTTGGCTGGATTGTCTGCAATGGTGTGTGCTGCACCCTTGTATCTCTGTGGACCTGGGGTTGGGTCTTTCTCTACTTTCTACTTGACATAGTTCACTTTTTCAGCCTGAGTTGGGGCAGCCCTGTGTTTGGGGCCTCAAGGGCAACTTTCCTGGCAAGTTGCCCCTGCCCCATCAACCAGATTCTGCCTTGTTTCTGCAGGGGTCTGGCCTTCACTTTTCTCTGTGCTGGTCTACTGCCTCTTTCTAGTACAGAGAGCTGTTCCTCTCCTCTCAGCCACTGGATAAGGCTTGACCCTGGGCATAGGGTGCCTGCCCTCCCCAGCCCTAAAGGCTTTTGCTTCCTATAGAAGAAAGATTGGTCAGCAAGGTGGGTGGCTTCTTTTGCAGTCTTCCTGGGAATCCTTCGGGGCTTCCAGGGGTTATATTCCTGGCTGGCTACACTTATTAAGCTGTTTTTTTCCCCCTGCTTTTATGGCCTCCTTCTATATTCTTTACTTTGCCAGAGGCAAAACAGGGTGTCCCTTTCTCCTTGGAAGGGCTTATTGCCCCTTGTTGTAAAATTCATCTGGTAGCCAGGTGGGTCACTTCTGTTCTTGGTTTGCCCCAAGTTAGATTTTATGAACTATGGTTCTGTCTCATTAGGGTGGGAGCTCTAAGAGCACTGTTCTCTTGCAGCTTTCTGACCCCCTACGGAAAGTGGGACTGAATTGTTCTTTTCTAGATACACATTGTGTGATTGCTGGTGGTCATAGTAGGTCAGTGGTGATTTTTCCCCTGCCTCCCAGTTTCACGTTGTGTATTTCCCCAGATTCACCTGTAGCCGCCCTTCTGTACATTCTCATGCCTGGACACCATTTCCAACGTTCAGCAGGTGTCTGGGCATGAGGCCTTTTCTGTGGCTCAAGTGCAGTGCTGTCTTCTGCTACCTTAGTTCTCTGACAGCCACATATGTCTCTAGGTGTGACTTCTGGTTGAGCTTTTTCAGTGAATAAAGTTAGTTTTGTTAAGTTACATTCTTAGGAGATGTTATAGTTATTTGTACAAAGTTATTTTCAATTCCTGTTTTATCTGCAGATGTTTGTTCTTTCTTCTTTTTTTTTAAATCTTTATTTAGAGTCATCCCCCCCCCCAAAGAAACAACTTTTTATTTTATATTTTAAAATTACATTTTAAGTACTGGGGATTGGATTCAGGCTGCTCTACATGAAGCTACATCCCCATCCCTTTTTATTTGTTATTTTAAGACAGGGTCTCGCTAGGTGGCCCAGGCTGGCCACAGCCTCAACACAGGAGTGTGTTTGCCACTGTGCCTGGAACAACTTTTTATATTAAAAATATTATTTCTTTATTTCATTAATTATTACTATTTTATATACAATATGTATATGTGCAGTTGGTTAATTAATGCTATGGTAGACATCATAGAAAAATTTTAGAGGCATGAAGGAGAAGTAGAGCAAAGTAAATTTCCTCCAGCATCTGCGTCTTCATCTTCTTTACCTCCAGAGGGCTCTGCTCCTGACAGGTGATTGTGTCTTCCTCCAGAATGTTTTCTTGGCAGGTGGTAATTGCAAACACCACAGTGTCTTGAGTTACAGAGGGCTCTCAGTGACTCAAGGATGTGTTCCCCCATTTCTCATTGCTCCCGAGGAAGGAGTTCCAGTGCCATAGCCAGGGAGGTACACACAGAAGCTGGATGCTGTCTGTTCTCTAGGTCTTTTCTGAGCGTTACCTAACAGTGATCTATAGAGCCTGAGCCTGGGCATTGACTCTTAGGGGAGTTGCATTCCTCCCCTCTGGGGAGCCCACAGACACTAGGGGAAGTTACTTGCTCTGTTCTCT